CATGGACGGGCCTCATGTGGTATTTCACAATGATGGCTACAGTGAGATACGTGGCAGCAAAAGTTCCTAGAACACTGAGCAAAAAGAAATATCAAAGACTATTGATGAGAAAATAAATGCTGCTGACATTAAACAAATTATCTTGATGATGTGTGGGGAAGAAAGCTTTGCTTATTAGTCAGAGGAGAGTCATTTTAAATCTATTCAAAATGCTGTGCACTGCCACAGCAATTGACCATAAAAGTCCTAATGAAAAACAAGCAATAAAAGCGCTTCATAAAATTCATGAAATCACAATCACAGTCTTTTTACACACTTACCCTGCAACTCTCTCCACCTAAACAGGCTTCCCACAGTTTTGACCAATCAAATCCAAAAAACATTCTGACAAGTCTCAAAAGAATAATTTGTAAACTGTTGCACACAATTCACTAAAAAGAACCGATTTTAAATCATTCGCTCACAAATGGGACATCACTGTGACTTGTGAGTAAATGCCATTGCCTAGCCGATGAAATACATCTTGAGCAGAACATAACTAGAAAAATAATCACTATAGGAATTACCATTATTTCAAAGGTTTCAACAACTTCCATGGCTTTTTCAGGCCTGGAAAACACAATAACCTTCATAAAACAAACCTGCTTTGCCATCTTAACTGAACCAGGGTTATTTATGTATTATTTCTATACTATTACAGTAATTATTAATATTTGAAATTAGCTTTTATTTATAATTTTTTTTAATTTAATTTATATATTTAATTCATTTGAAGTTTTAGTAATTGTGTTATGTGCTTTTGTCATTGTAATTCTTTTTTTATTTCTATTCAACTTTCATTTATTTTTATTTCAGTTTTAGTAACTTTAATACCTAAACTTATTTCACTTATTTTCTAATTTTTAAGATTTTCATGTAATATTTATATTTTTTCCGCTTTATTTTAATGACCAAAAATGAGTACGTTTTAGTTTTAGTTGACAATAATAACACTGTTCTGAACAATATAGTCAAGAAAATAAGCAAACAAAACGGTCAGAACACAGTTCCTCACCTGGTATACTTCTGTATGCTGATCTCCTTCGGGACAGAGAGAGGGAAAATGAAGAAGAGACACAGAAGAAACAGGGCAAATCTCTGGTCTGTGTACCAGTAATACGGCATCTCTGATTCTGGCAATCCTGTGATTAACTCATATATAGAGACACACACTGGGAGAAATGAATGGAGATGGATCAATGTGAGGATCATCTAATGGATAACGTCTACTTACAAAAACACAATATGAGCAATTAGTAATAAAAAAAAAAGTCCCATTAACGGCTTTACATTGCTTACATTTCTGAAGCTGGTCGGCAACTATGACCAGAAAAGCAACAGATATGAAGAAGAGGTTGAAGACATAGCATATCTCACAGAGGTTGCCTATGGCAGGACCGCACACATCTCTGACCACAGCCTGATATGTGTTTTGTCCACTGACTGAAGACGAATAGCCCAAGATGACAAGTCCACTGATCAGGAACACAAGAGAAATCTATGCAAGACAGAAATGTATCATATAACATCATTAACAGAATCAAAACAAGTGGAAATATGTTATTCAGACATTATAGAGTTAACAATATGCATATACTGAACAAAAAGTTCTCTCAAATGATCTTTGGATTAGATTTAATGGAAAGATAATTCATTAATTTTAGATAGTGTACACAAGAGCGATATGGTAGAAGCCACAGTGAAGAAACCAGGTTAACTGAGCCATAAAATATTTAAACAATCAGTGTTTCATTGCAGCAAAGAGTTACTTGCCATTTCTACAATGACAGCAGAGTGAATTCCTCCAGATTTCTCAAACGCCCAGGGAAAGATGAGAAGCCCAGCACCCAGCGCGGACTTCAGCATGATGAAAACCGCTGCTAACGAGCCCAACTTCGGTCCGTTTGTGTCCAGAGCGGGGCTTGTTAAAAAGCTGATGCTTTCTTTAGCCAGCTCCTCCATGTTCGTCCCTGTTTGGATCTCTCTCTGAGGGAGCTCAAACTTTAGCTCAGGTGAATGAGGGGTGGGAGTTTGGTGTTTCAGGCCAATCAAACGCTCTTCCACGATTTGGAGAAACGAACCCAATTTGATTCGTCAGTAATTTAATGAAAATCATTTGGGTTCGAACAGTACGGCAATTTACAATGGCACTACACCAATGTTGATCAGATTAAACATATTCCACTGATAATGCTGTTCATAATCCTAACTGTAGGCTTTATGTAGGTGGGTTAACAAGCAACGATTCAAAATAAATAAAATAAAATAAAAATACTAAACAAGACCAGCTTGCAAACCAGCTATGACCAGACTGGAAGACCATCTTAAGCTGGTTTTAGCCGTTTTTTCCCTATAAGGGAACTGTTAAAAAAAGATCCCACAGCTATTAAATTCACTCACAAATTCCCACTAAATATTTTGAAATATCCAACCACTTCCCCCTCATAAATTGCATCAAATAGTACATCAAAAGACAAATTATGACACAAAGTATTGTGGAAAGATGAAAAATATGTTCCAGGGGTGGGGGTTTGGCACTGGTGCTACAGGCTCACTGTCACTCCTCTGGATCCCAAGTCTTGGCAGAGAAAATCACAAGCAAGGCTGGGAACTTTCTAGATATGAGGGACAAGTGGAACATGTGACCTCCTTTATGAGAGATTTGGGAAATCCACTTAAGCACAGATAACTGGTCAGGGTTAGTTCCCATGTTCTTCATGTCATTAACCTCTATCACGTTTCGTCACCTGAAAGGGACTGGTGACATTTTCACAGGCCATTCTTCCCATTAAAAATGGATCAGGACCGAGATTTAGAGAGACTTCCAAGCCTCTATCACTTCTAATGGAATTAGTCGATTTCACACTGGCCTGAAGCAAAAGCTCAGGAAACGACAAGACTGCTTAGCAGACCGTGTTGATCCGATTTAGAATGAGGAGGAAGAGGCGTTTCTTTTGCCTATCTACACCAGCATTCAATTACTGGGAGGCTATGATTGTGTGGGATAGTCTGAAGAATGCTTTTATCTCGGGAGATTCAATTTGTTATATTTCTTGCCCTTTCAGCAGTAACAATGATTTCCAATGTTGATTAAAAGATAGCCTAATAAATGTTTACAGATATATCCTGTGATGACCAATCTGAATTTTCAGCAGCCATTATGCCAATCTTCAGTGTCACTTGCTGCATACAATTATTATTATTATTATTTTTTTTTCTTACTTACCCCAAACTTTTGAATGGTAGTGTATCATGGTTTCCACAAAAATATTAGGCAGCAAAGTTTTTAACAACACGGATAATAAGAAATGATTCTTGAGCATTAAATCAGCATATTAGAATGATTTCTGAAGGATAATGTGACACTGAAGACTGGAGTAATGATGCTGAAAATTCAACATCACAGGAACGAACATTATATATTTAAAATAAAGAATGTGCATTTAATTATTATTTGTATTAATTAATTTGTATATTGTCGATTTGTATATTTTTATTCCTTATTTACTTGTTCTATTTTTTTATTTGTTTTTTGTTCTGTCACTGTCATTCTGTGTAAACATACCTGGTAATAAAGCTCATTCTGATTCTGATTATAGTTTAATTAAAGATGCTTTTAACCTGTTAGAAAGATATATGACAACATATATATGCTTGTTTTGAGATGGACCAAGTCTAATATGGCTTTCCTCCAAATAAATGTACTGAAGTGATATTTTACTTCTGACAAACTAGTGGGCTACACAGTCAAACCGTGACAGCTTCATCAATCTTATGCACATGTATCTTATACAAACAAAGGACAAATAGGTTCATCCATCATCGAAAGTAGCAAAAGTAAACAGAAGCATTCCATATACTTCTGGTGGTTTACCGGAATCATCCCTTGGATAAACAAGATAAAAACTGTTCTTGTTTGTTTTCCCAATTGTAATGTTATATGAAGACTGTCATCTAAGTTTTATCATAAAGACAGAGGCAGGTTTTCTTGCTTTATATCGGATAAGATATATTTAAAACATTGATAATTCCACACCAACAACAGTGAAATCATGATGGCTATTTACAAAGGATGTAAGCACACAACCGTTATATAAAAACACAGTCTGACTGAATACAAAAATGAGGACATGTGGAAACAAGTCCAATATGTTGATCAAGGAAACTGACTGGCTGGTTTCTATTGTCCAATTTGACATACAAAGCAAGGGTCAATAGTCAATTTTTCATCAATAAATTAAAAAAGGAAACATTTCTCCATTTGGTCACAAAATTGAAAGGCAAATATTGAATAAAGACAAGATAGGGAACACTGATGTCCAAACAATGTCCTCATCTGGGCGCAGAAGGCTAGTTCATCTCAAGAATGTACAGACACAGCCCTTTAAATCTCATTACCAAGGGGTTACGGCATCACATACACCGCAGGGAAGACTGTTCCGTTACTTTGTCCAGACGTGGTATGTGGCTGATCATACGGTGGGGTTTTTGCCTGAGTGAGGGGTTTGTTGTTGCTGTTGTTGAAGGTAAAGTGGTCGTTTCACTCTGGGTTTCCTGCGCTTGGGCTTGCTCTTGGCCTTGGTCAATTGCACCACAAAGAAGGAAAGAACAACCATGGCACCAAGAAAGGCAAACATTGGGATGGTTTGGCCCACCTCTTGATTATAGCGGCCGGGCATTATTCCTGAGGAAAAACATAAACATGAATTACTGTGATCCGTTAGCTGAAATCTAAAAGGCAATTTGTGGGTGACAACTGGTTGATTACTTCCTAAACACACAGCAAAAGTTCCTTCCTCACCTCCAGGGATGTCCCAGGCTCCACTTTCTCCAGGAGACAGGGGTCGAACCTGAGGCCGATATAGCCTCACATTAGGCAAAACAACCTTGTCCATGTCCACTGACAGCAGCTTCTGGTGCTTCCACAGATTGCTGAGAAGAAATAAATGTAAAAAAAAAAAAAAACTTGTCAGATGTCGATATTAAAAGACAATGCATCCAATTTTAGATTTGTTTCCACTGACAGTGCAGTAGTTGAGAATGGCAGCAGTCTCATGTGTACTGACCTAGGAGCGGTCTCATTAAGCGGCTGGGGTTTAGCCCAAGACAGATGAGGACATGCAGGTAGAGGACGAGGCTTAGGGTCACCCAGATGAGCCTCCAGCACTTTGGAGTAACGGTAGAGGTGATTACCTACAAAAATAATAATAATCATCATCATAATAATAATTCATTACATTTATATAGCGCTTTTCTAGGCAATAATAATAATAATAAATCGAATTCATAAAAATGAACTAAATTCATTAAATAAAAATGAATTCATTAAATGAAATTAAAAATAATGAATTAAATTAAAAATAAATTACTTAAAAACAAATGACTTCAAATAATGATTTAAAGATAATGAATAAATAAGATAAAAATGCAATAATAAATAAAAAGAATGAATTAAATGTCAATGAATTAAAATTAAAAACAAATGAATTAAAAATAAAAAATATAAATTAATAATGATAATTTTGAAAAAAAAATGAATAAATGAACTGAAAATAATGCATTAAAAATATAAATAAAATGACTAAATTAATAAAAAAAAAATACATTAAAAACTAATGAATTAGTTTGATAAAATTATTAATCAAAATGAACTGAAAATGCATTAAAATGAATTAAGAATAAATACAGTACTGAAAATGTATTAAATATTACCTTCCAATCTCTGTGGTAATGGCCTGTCTGTGCCTGTAGGGGGCACCACTCTGTTTTTAGAGTGGGTCAGGCTGGGTGGAGTCATGCTATAGGAAGTGTACTGTAGCAGAGCATCCAGAAGCCAAAAACAGTCTAAAATGGAGAAAAGAGAATCCAAACACATTGAATTAAATTAACACGGTCAAAAAATGTATATTTAGTGGTGCTATTTTTGAACTCTCTCTCTCAGACTTGTTTGCTCAAATTGTGAGCTTGTATACACAAATGTCCATTACCTTTCTGCCTATGACTGTCATCAATGCAGTTGGAGTCTCCGTAGAGTGCTATACGGCCTCCCCCCTCAGAGGGTGTTTGGTACAGTCCAAGCACAGGCACATTTTCCACCACTGCGGTCTCTTGTTTCAAGACCTCCAGACCTAGAAATTTGAGGATGTCAGATAACAATAAAAAGAGAATTAAGAAAACGAGGGAGCTTTTAGCTAGTCTCCATGGATAGAGCAGTGATGAGAGGTGTACAATCACAGCAGCTGCCATGTACCTTGATCCTTTAAGGTCTGAGCGATGACAATCCCATCCTCAGGAAAACGAGCGATGCTGCACCCCGAGGCATAATACACTACAAGCATAAAGACATGGTATATTATTATAAATCTTTTCTCAATAATATTTTAGGCAAACTTGTCTCTTGTCTACTCAATATTGTATTTAACAGGAAGCCATGTTTCCATCCATTTTTATGCGTATTTTGGAATATTGCATAAAAAAAAAAAAACACGCACAAGATGCGCATTAATTCTAAAAATGAGCATTAAAAAAAAATTTGAGTAGGATAAACTTTTTATCCGATAAGAAAAAATATGCACAAACTACATTTACCTAATAAATTCCACCATGAGCATCAAAAAAAAGTCATGTGACTTTGCACGATGGGCCAGGATAACTTGACTAACCAGCAGACCGATCTCGATGCACAGCATCTGAAAGGTTTTTTGATCGTTCTAAAATGCCTGAGCAAAGTCTGTCAAAGTCAGTCTGTATAATTGTCTTGCACCACTGCAATTCCCAAACAGCAGGCATCCACCTCCGAAAGCAATGACAGCATTTATTGCGTTTTGTTTATATCATATATGAAAGTTATTTTATTTAGTGGCTTCTCCTACTTTTCTTAGTGATATTTAGTGCCAATTTATCAGGAAGTGACTAATCGATTTTGTTCTCTTCGACTCGTTGGATGGAAACAGTGCTTTATTTGCAAATGTTTTATGCAATGTTCCAGTTTTGTGCATGAATTAAATTTGCATCTTTGGATGGAAACATAGCTATTGATATAGTGAGAAGTTATAGAGTCTTACTGTCATGATCTGCCATTGTGAAGTCTCCCTCATACAGACCGTCACTGAAGGCCATACCCCACACTGCAATCAGGTCATTCAAGGCTGGCACATTAGCGCCCCCTGTGTCCGGCATCCACCATTGCCTGCAAATGTGTAATGGACCTTTCAAAATTGGCCTTTTTTTGATAAACAAAGCATGTTTACCCTAAATTGGACACTTTACTAAGAGCCCCTTTTAAAAAGGTATTTGTCAGAGCCAATAATAGAACCCACACAATTTCAATCCCCCCAAAATGACATTTGCTTTGAATTAGGGCACTTAAATGCCCTAATGGGAAGCACACTTTAATTTAAATTAGGACAAAAATAATTAGACAAACATTACTGAAATAAAAATGTCAGGTAAAATCACAGTTAAAAGTAATTAGCGAGGCAGTCTAGACACAAATTATTGTCTATTGAAACTTTCTAGCTAACTTTCTGTACAAATGTTTTGTTTTTTTTGCCTTATACTGTAGTGTCCAAACAGTCTGAGAACAACTGAAATATGAGATTTATCTAAACCTAAAGAATTTGTAAAAGGTTTCATGTTTAAGGTAATAAGAGAGTAAAATTATTAAAGAAACATTTCCTATGACCTAGAAATGCATAACTATTATTAATATTATAAATGTAATACGGTTTTATAACATTTTTTCTTTAAACGTACAAAAGAAAAAGCATTTTTATTAGTGGACCCCACTGAACATTTACCAAGAGATAGATGCAGTACAGTCTTATTTTAAAGGTAGAGACAGTGACAAAAGATTACGGTGCGCCTTAATGTTCTCAGTACCTGGTGTTCTCATCATAGAACTTCACTTTTCTCATGACTGATGTGTTGTACCAGTCACTAAAGACGATAAGAGACAGGCCGTTATCTATGTCTCTCCTCAACTTGGTGATTTCCTCTGGAAAATACTCTTCCTCACTGTCCACCATCAGCAAGGTCCCTATAAACACGCAGAAACAGATGACAGTTGATTTCCATCACGGCTTATACCACAAAACTAATTCATCTTCAAGACAGAATCCTTTATACAGAAAACACTCCACTAGATGAACGCCTACCATACTGACTGGCATCAAAGCATGTGATTGGTGCACCCAAGACTTCGACAAAGTAGCCCATGCTGCGAAGGTGCTGATACATGTCTCTAAAGTTTGTGTGAATATGATCACCATTCCTTCAAAACAAGAGAAAAACAATGTCATATACACACTTATAAGAGAAAAATTGCAGTAGCCCCTCACTGCAGAACACAAGATCCAGGGGGCATGGTTGGATCCACATCTAGGGGGTGGAGATGGGTAGGTTTAGGGGTGGAGATGGGTGGGTTTAGGGATCAGGGGGTGGAGACGGGTAGGTTTAGGTATATGTAAGTTGGGAGGAGTTGGATCTGGATCCAACCACGCCCCCTGGATCTTGTGTTCTGCAGTGAGGACCATCTCAAAAATTGGGGCAAAAAGGTTTCTAGAAACAAACTATTAAATGCTGCCCTCTACAGATTCCTTTTCACGGTGCAATGTATTTTCTAACAACTGATTGAATGTGGATTATTTTGGGTGGTCGAGGCTCACCAGTCAAGCGGATCGTTCTTCATGCGCAGGTTGTCTCGAGGGAAGTAGCCAGGCGGGTAGCGTAGGTTGTGGTACTGATCCCACAGAATCCTCTTACTACGTGGAGGAGTGGGGACAATCTTTACCTTCACTGGTAACTTCACTGTAGAGGTCATCTCACCAGCTATTGCTGACTGGATACAAACACACGAAAAACAGGCCACAGCAGGTCATGATCTCAAATTACACTACAGTCAAAATGAAATCAGTTTAGAAATTTTCTAAGAAGTCTGAAAGCCTTCCAAGAAACTCTTAGAAGTATAATAAACCAGTAAAGAAGTGCGGTCATTAACCAATAAAATTAATTTATGACTTAAGCAGAGGAGCCCTTTCTATTATCACCTTACTGGAGATATCAGGGACAGTACTGTTACTCACATCATTCTCTGCTGGTGAGGCCACTGTAACCATGACATGACCCTGAGCGATGCCTTCCCACGATGCAGCTTTCTTGGCCACAGATACGGAAACAGCAAGGTATCCGGCCCAGGGCCAGAGTACAGGCGAGTAAGACACCGCCACGTCCACATAATCCCCATTCTGAGGAAGGTAGGGTTGCCAGATGGGCTGCGGGTTTAAAACATAACTGGGCTTCTTCAAATGGACCATGGATAGTTGAAAATACATTTTAATGTATAAAATAAGAGATTACACTGAATTGCAATGAGTCTATTTATTATTGCCTACCTTGTCCACAATCCTTCCAGTCACACCCATGCCATTAAGAATGGTCACGTTGACAATCGTCGGCATGCCACCGTAGTAAATAGGCTGAGAGCAGTAGGGCCACATGTAGGGGCACTCGGTCAGATCTATGTAGCTCGGACTCAGGCTAAAGAATAAAAAACACCATTAGAAATTCATTAGCAGACGATGGCCATCACTGAGAGCCAGTGCAAGATAATGAACCAGGCCAAATCTACTCTATAATCAGGCTGGGACATAATTAAATCTTAATGAGCGTGCAATAGAGATGCTGGCTACATTTTAAATGGACTGATTCAGCATACATGAATAAGATAATGCGAGCATGATACGTGAGCAGAATGCTAGTCAAAGAGCAGAACACTATATTTGTGTGTATGCAAGAGACATGCCTGGCTTGTGGCTTGTAGCTGTTAAGGATCTGGTAGGCTCTGAGTAAATCGAGTTTGCCATGGCCCTGCTCAAACATGTTGACGCCTGGCAGCCTGCGTGCTGAGGCGATCAGGGCCTGCTTCATACTGGCCGGGTTCACCAACTCTCTGTTCAACACAGTGCTGGAAAGACAAAAGACAATAAACATGGTTCAGTTAAATGGATGGGGGTTGATGGGATATCATTTCAGTGCAACCGCAGGTTGAGGACCAGAAAACAGACTTGAAAGAAACACTGGCACATGGTGACTCAGAGGCCATAAAGCAAAGAGGCAGACGGGGTCAAGTACCTATGAGAGACTAATACAAATGAGAGCAATATATATGAAAGAGATAGAAAGGAAGGGAACTGAAGGAGGTGAAATGAAAACCTTATAAAGTGGAAACACCGACAAATTAGGTTAGCCCATCACAGTCTGAGTACATCAAATATATAGCAAAAGCTAAGACAGTAAAAGAGAAACTATGCCATTCAATTCCCTGTGGAAAATAAGATTGATTCTGTCAATTCATTTGTTTCTTGTTTTTCTTTTCTTGCAGAATCAATCATTTATTTTTCTCTCATAAGGACAAAGGAAAAAAACAAGGCACCTATGCAGAAAACCATAGGTTTCGTGGGACCAATTTATTTAGTTCTACTACATATCAGTTGTGTGTGAGTGGTATGTTTATAACAATAAATGTATAAAGTACAGGTGTGCCCACTATCAATCACTATCAGCGCCCTGATAAAGCAGCAAACACGGACCTAATAATGAAACCCTGATCTGAATCACTGATCAAAGTGGATATAAAATGTCCACACCTGACATAATTAAAGTGCACTCTCTTTTATCTCTTTTATTAAGTATATAGGCCTGAAACCAGACGCGCCTAATTTAGGTGTTACACTGTTACAATTAGTTTTAGTTCTAATAAATGCTGCTCTTTTGGACTTATGAAACAGTTCTTTTTCCTATTATCTAATATTTTATTTTTAATATTAATATTTTTGTGAAAAGTGATAAATTGTTTTCATAAGCACTAAATTATAATGATTTCTGAAAGATCCTAAGAGTGGAGTAATGGCTGTGAATGTTTATGCAAAGCACTATTTTTGTTCATCTGTCTCACCTGGCCAGTAGTGTGACAGCCCCGGCCACTACAGGTGATGCAACACTGGTGCCAGAGAGAGAACGACAGCCCTCCTTCAATCCTGAGCCACGCACACCAGAGCCGTATGTCACAATGTCAGGCTTCACCCTGCCATAGCCACCTGGCAGCTCCTGATCCACAGATAGCACAGAAAGCAAAACAATGATTAAACTGAGCTGACAAGACAGACTGACAGATATTGTAATGAGTGGGAAAGAGAGCAACACGTTACATTCAATGCCTCAGAAGAGATGGAGTCAAAATTCAGCAGTCATACATGGCCAGCACTTCTTTATAATGGTTACTGGGATGTTGGTAAGTTTGATAATAAATTGATTCACAACTCAGATTCAAATATTTATTTGCATCATTGCCCAAAATGTTTTAAGGAATTCCAAAAACAATTTAATATATTTAGGTAAATATTGTTTTTGTTTTTTATTTCGGTGGCGTATCTAAATAAAAAGGGCAAGATATTCATTTTGTGTTAATTTAGTGAAAAACAGTATAAAAACATGCCTTGACTATTTTACCTAGAATTCAATTTCATTTTAATTCTATTTTTGCAAAATCGCCTATTTTTTAACTGGGGAATACATTTTTTTAATATCTTATATCTCAAGGACATTCATTTATATGCAACTTTATTGTAAATCTACAAGGCTGTAATTCTTTGAACCACTTCAAAGGTGCAATAGAGGGTTTTTACGGAGTCTTTTGAAGTGCATGTGCATATCTTCAATTTATTCTCCTTCCTAAAGCGGGGGAGTCCAGGAATCTCCAGATTTGTGTAGCAGGAGGTGTCTGTCTGCCCTTTTTAGGTCAGATCAAAATGCACAGACATGTTCTAACTGGCCTCTTTAGGCAGCTGCACAGGAAAAACGCAGTAATGTGATGTCACCAAAAGACAGAACGCACCCATGTTGTCATGCCTCGGGATGAGAATCTGGCAATGTTGTCCTCAAAATCAATCCCTCCAACACCAATAACATCCATCTGATCTGCTGGATTGTTCAGAGTTCTGGAAGACCAAAAAAAAATCTAGCAATATCAATAGATGTGTTGGGAATATTGGCCAAATCTAATAATTTGTCCTTAAACTACTTTTCTTACCCATAGAGTGGGCCATCATTGCCAATAGCAGATACCATAATCACCTTGTTGGCTGTGAGCTCCCAAACCTTGTTAAACAGAACAGTTAAGCTTTTATTAGAGCACTACATTTCAGAGAGCATAAACTTTGATGTACAGGCCAAAATACACAGCACCTTTATTAAAATTTGCTGGCTTGTTGCTTGAGAGGTTTCTCATTTGTAGCTTGCTTTGGACAATAGCACCTGCTGAATGAATAAATGTCAGTTTAATTTGTCCATACCTTATCAACAAATGGATGGTCCATAAAGTCTGGTCCCCCTATACTGAGATTTAAGACGTCTATCTTCTTCAGGATGGCATAGTTAAAGGCATCTAAGAACCAAGAGGTGTAGGACACCTAAGAAGAAACAAAAAAAGAAGAATAACAACAAATATGTGCGTATGTGGGGATGTGTAAAAATCACCCTGAATAAATTTGTAATAATATACAAAAAAAATGATAACTGAGGCCAGTAATAGACCTGGGCGATATATTTGAAAAAGTTTAAAGTTTTTGAAAGAAGTCTCTAATGCTCACCAAGGCTGCATTTATTTGCTCAAAAATACAGTAAACAACAGTAAATTGTGGAATACTATTACAAATGTAAAAACTTTACTATTTTAATGTTTTAAAATGTGATTGAAATGTATTCCTGCAGTGACAAAGCAGAATTTTCAGCAGCCATTAATCTAGTCTTAAAAGGACAGTTTACCCAAAAATGAAAATTGTCAATTTTTTTTCCTTTTGCTGAACAGGTAATGTAATTGATCAAACCTTTCCCGGTCCCCACTGACTTCCACAGTATGAACAAAATAGAAGTATACTATAGAAGTTGATGGGGACCAGAAACTTTTTTGCTTAGACGCATTCTTCAAAATATCTTTTGTGTTCAGCAAAAAAAAAAAGAAAAAAAAAGAAAATTCATACATGTAGGCTAAATGACCAATTTCATTTGGGTTAACTATCACTTCCTTAAGAAATCAATCTAATGTGCTGATTTGGTGTTCAAGAAACATTTCTTTATTATCAATGTCGCAAACAGTTGTGCTGCTTAATATTTTCTGAGGAAACTGAGAAACTTTTTTTTTTACACCTTTTTTAAATGAATAGAAAGTCCAAAAAAATGGCATTTATTTGAAAGAGAATGATTTTGTAATATTACAAATGTATTTACTGTCATTTTATTGTGTAAATGAATTTTTGAAAGGTAGTTGTACATGATCATGGATTTGAGTGTTGTGTGCTACCTGGTTATTAGTAAAAACCCTGAAGATATGAAGTTCAGAATCAGGAGCGAATCCCTGGCACTCTCTCATGCTGGCAATAACCCCAGCAACAAAGGTACCATGACCCAACCCTGAAGAAAGAATGTGAGACAGACAAAGATAAAAGAGTGATTAATGCTTGTAATCTGAACAATTCATCTGGGCTGATTAAGTCAACTTCACTCCGAGCGCAATAATGATTGATTAAATGTGTTTAACACATTTTTGTCTTGCCATATCATTTATTGTTCGCTACTGTGTTGCTATGCTAGTCTGGCCGTTTCCTGAAGAAGAAAATAATCCGATCTATGTGATGTAATGAATAAAACCATTTTTTTGATTACCCAAAGTTTAATGGTGTTGTTCTCTTATTCAAATTATAAATGATATAACTAAACAAATT